CTTCCTCTCCACACTCCCCTACACAAAACTGTAACAACGTCTGTCTATGCACTTTAATCGCTCCGCTACCATTTAACCATTGTAGCTTATACGGCTTAGGGTGTCGCATAGTGTGTTGGATTTCTCTACGGGTTTCTAGCATGCAAATTTCATGCAACGGAAGAAAAATAAACCTAAACAAAAACCAACATTCAAACCTCGAAAGATGATGTATCTGTAGGAATCGAAAATTTACCTCGAACCTGAAGAAGCTTGAAGTATAATCGATTTGGGACTAATTACCTAGGACTGCAACCACACATGCAGAAAGGATTTCGAACGTTTCGGAGCTGATCTGTTAGGATCTTTGTAGAGAATATGGTCATAAAGATTCGGGATTGAATCCTGGGAACTAAAATATAAGGAGAAACGTTTCTCAAGCTTTCTAGGACCTGTCTAAGAGTCCTAAAAGTGTATGTTAGATTTGGGGCGGTAATTCCCAAACTATTTATTAAATCTGAAACCCTTAAACCTATAGTGTTTTATTATTGTTTACAATAACTCAACAACCAATAACCCACTCGAGCACTTCTCTCTCCGAACCAGAATCGGAACCAACCATCATGTTCATCCAATCTCTATGTTTGACTCTGATACTACAATCGATCATACCTTTGCATAATCGTCTTAGTTTATGTTTATTACTTTATTCAATTCCATCTACCTAGATTGATACGACCACACATCCTAGAGACTAAGGGTGTTCTAGTTTTAGATTCGATCCCGAGATTTTGAGAACCCTAATTACTTTATAGATCCTATAGCAGATTAATTTCAAAATGTTCAAAATTATTTCTTCAAGTGTAGATACGTATAGAGGAACTGTGTTTTTCATCTCTAAATGATTCGATAGAGGCCCCAGATTGTTATATTTCAAACTTTTTCAAAAAATCGAGTTAAGTATTCGATTTCACCGAGAATACATATGTTAGTCGAACTTGTATGTTGGTTTCTTGTTATGGTTTTATATTTTTTCACTGTGTAAAATCTATAAACCAACCATATCACGTTTTTGATAAAACTGTATGCTACAAAAAATCTCTCACCAATATTTCCCCCCCCCCCCCTTAGTCTCTTACGCTTCTCTTCATGTATACACTTGCTCGGATCCGAATCTTCATCCTTGTAACTGTTTTGCCTTTTCCTCCTTATCTCCAAATCTGCCTAAATCGAACCGAAAAACCATGTGGGTGACAACTTTTTAAATCATGCAAATACGACCTGCACTCGCAAGAAAATCGAAGTAACACCAAATAATATCGCCGGTCGTCACGTGGAAAATACAAAATCGATAAATAATTCCACGTGTCAGTACGGCTCGAACCCATATACAAAAAAAAAAAAAAGAAGACGACGAAATCACTTTGGTAGCGAACAAGTAAAATAAAATTATATAAGAATTGACCGTCATGACTCATAACGTATATATATATATATATATATCATGGGGCCACTAAACGAAGGCAGGCACTTGTATCTAAGAGAGTATGAAGTCAATTAACCACACAAGACCCGTAATAAATGCGAATTTCTGTTTCCAAACCATTGTATTAAATGCAGCAGCTGCAATTCCCACCCACTTTCTCAAAAATTATTAAATACTAATAATTATTTTTAAAAAATAAAAATCTGTATTCACTCGATTCTCTCTCTCTCATCGCCTATTTCCACATGGACCCAGTCCCCTTCTCCACTTTCAGATGTCCTCCTCCGCCGTCTCCCCTCCGCCGCCGCCTTCTGTCTCTATTCCGAGCTACCTCACCGGAATCGGCCTCGGCTACTCCATCGCCATAGCCCTTGGTTTCCTCGTCCTTCTCTCCACCATCCTCCTTTCCTCCTACGTCTGCTGCCGCGCCTCCCGCCGACGCTCCTCCTCCTCCGCCACCGCATCCGCCGCCGTAGACGGCGGTATTATCCTCCCCCGGATCATTTTTGTTGCCGAGGACGACGACGACCTCGAGGCTAACGGCGAAAACATCGTCGTCGGTCTCGATCAGTCCGTCATCAACTCCTACCCGAAATTCCAGTTCTCGAAAGAATCCGACGGTGGTGGAGATGCCACGTGTTCGATCTGTCTGTGCGAGTACAGGGAAGCGGAGATGCTGAGGATGATGCCGGAGTGCAAACACAGCTTCCACTTGTGTTGCCTTGACGCGTGGCTTAAGCTCAACGGATCTTGTCCCGTCTGCCGGAACTCACCGCTTCCGACGCCGCAATCTACGCCGTTATCCACGCCGTTATCGGAGGTTGTGCCGTTGTCTCAGTACGCCGCCGACCGGAGAAGGGCTAGATGATATTGTTTCGCCGCCCCTTAGGGTTATAATTTTGTGTCTCATTTATTGTATTTTACCCTTTTAAGTGTATTTATTTAGTGCTGCTGATTCTGTAATTAAATCAAAAGAAAAGCAAAAAAAAATCCTCATATCAATTGAGTTACCTTGAAAATAAGATACGTATACTATATATAATATACATTAGATCAAAATTATTTTAGCAGCTCGAACTATGAATTCAGACACGTGATTTTATGTTCCACGACCTAGCTAGGATGCTGAAATGCGCTGCTATATAACAGAACAGTGTTTTTTAGTTTATGATGATGTTCTCCAAGAATGATGTATTATTATTAACTTTGGAACTTGGAAGCGTTGACTTGCTATGGTCTGAATGACCTCATCTTATTGACTGCCGAAAATCTATCTTTTTTTGTTTTGTGGGTGTGTTGGAGGTTTGACATTTAGGCCGCACTTTTTGTTGTGCTTGCGCATCTTAGCGCACGCCTACGGTGTTAAAGTAAATTTGATATAATATTTTAGAAATTAAGGGAAGTCGATTTAATATTATAATATTAAAGCGTGTCTAATTATATTATTTATTTTGTTTGGATTTTTTTATTTGTGTGTCTTTCTAGAATTATAAATTACTAGATATTAATTACTGATGTAGTCCACCGAATATAAATATATTAATTTTTTTTGAATTTATAATTTATTTTTTAAAATTAAAATAATAAATAATTTTGAAAATATTGAGATAACAATATGTTTATATTTTATATTTTCATGTGTTATCATATAAAATCAAGGTTTAGAATACAATATTGATACTACGATTTTTTAATTTATCAAATGATATTTTAAATCAGTATATTATTTTTTTTATAAACTAAGATTATATCATATTTGGTGTTATATATATATTTTATGGCAATAATAATAATAATTTAATAATCCTTATAAAATCAATTCACTCTTAATTTAAATAAATATGAGTTACAGTCTCATTTAGTTGAATCTTTTATTTAGTTCGACTTGTATCTTATTAAATTTACTCTTTATTATTTTCCTCGTTCCAATTTGATTTATTTGATTCTACATGGTCCATCTTAAGATCATCGATTATACAATGAATGAAGTAAATTAGTTTTTTATTAGTGAAAGATATATCATCGTCTCGTAAACCATCTATGATAGGAGTTGAAATTTTAAATAAAACGATATTTACTAAACTCAGATAGACTCATAGACACTATTAAGACTCATTTTTCACTCGGATTATATAATTAAAAACCCGATTCGATAAATCTCTAAAAAAATCTTTAAAACAAAAATCCAATAATACCTAGAAAATCATTATCCAACACAACTAACATTTCACATTACATTCTATTAAAACTTTAACAGATTTTAATATCTTCAATATATAGCAAAATATAAACATGTGTAAAATCTATATCAAATCTTAACAATATTTTTAATATCTTCCAATAGTTAGTGGGATTCAGTAACATGCTCATCAGAATCCCAACACAGATAAGAAGTATTTCAATAAATTTGAAACGATTAATCATCCAGTCTGATCTGTAGAACTTGCTTTCAAAAAACACGGAAAGCTCCACTAGCGCTTGGATTTTGGGCCCTTAATGGGCCTGAAGGCTTTAAAACAAGGAAAGAATCCACAGGCATTGATAATTATCAAGAAATAGATATTGGGTTTTGATTGCCTAATAAACGATAATTAACAGGCTTTGGAAACAATATATTAATAATTTTATCGAAATAAATTAAGTGTTAATTTCCTTTGTATTTCATTGTTTTATCGAAATGAGAGAATAAAATGAAGATATCTTTGTCTGTTTTTTAAAATAATAAGAACTTAGATCTAAATAGAAACAACTCTTTTGATTGCCTAATAAACAACTCTTTACCAACCCAACAGTTGGTGGTCCAGTGGTTGAGAGGTGACAAAGTCATCATCGAAGTCATGGGTTCGATTCCACTGGTGGGGAGGAATATAATTTCTGGATCAAAATGATCCATATACAAAGGTTGGTCCCGAGTCTAGGGTGAATGTAGTGAATGTAGTCGGGCCGAAGGTCCGGAAAACTATCCTGGTTATAAAAAAAAAAAAACTCTTTACCATCCCTTTACTATTTTTATTTCAACATATACTCTTCTCTAGTTGTGATCCTGTGATCTATATGATCCGAAATATAATCTGATAACATGTCGGTCCTATTGATCATAATGTTAAATTTATGGTGATCACACTAATTCATTATGTTCATCTATTATATACCTCACTAATCATTTGATAAAAACATTATAAATTACACGTTATGACTAAATAAGATTAGCATGTGATCATACTATATTTCTGATCACACATGAATCATAGGATTACAAGTGAAGAAGAGTATATGTCGAAATCAAAATAGCAAATAAAAGGTATTTTTTATAATATCCCCTTTTCTGTCTTAAATCATCGATAAAACCAGCTGTGTTGGGGGAATCATCCACCCTAGTGGTTAGTGACAACTCCCCTCTACCAAGAGGTTGTAGGTTCGAAATCCAGGTATGGAAACTCTCCTTGAGTCGGTCAGCTTTACGAGGCTGGTTTACCTGCTCTGCATAATTTGCCGGCTACTGCGCATGGCAGTGGATTTTCTCAGGTCCGCGATATTGTCCTAGATGCCGTTTTCGTCCGGTCCATGGGTTGAGAGGCGTTGCGGTGTCTAGTATCCGATCTGAAGGGTTGTAGGATAGGGATTTCCAATCGTAACAAAAAAAACAGTTGTGTTGATTCTAAATTTTCCGTTTTGAGGAAACGGAAATATTCCAAATATCTTGACTTTTTAAAAAAAATGAGAATGAAATTACAAGTGATGAACACTAGTTCAAATGGGGGAAAATATCGCATGTTGTCATTTTTCTTGCACTTTGATTTGATCCCATTGACTTATTATACCTAATACACTTTTTTTTACCTTATATAAAAACTTACCAAAAATATCCATATTTTTTTTACCATCAATATAAGCATCTTCATCTACATATCAAAATTCAATTTACCGGTAGTTAATATCGGACATCGATGACAAATGACTATGGCAGGGTAGTTGCCTTTTACTTGGATTTCATACATTTAACACACACTGCTAAAGGCGTCAAAAGCTTAGGATGACAGGAAAACATCATCATCATTCACACCCGATTTTTATAATTTCAGCAAAATATAAAACAATAAATATTTTTATTTTCGTGACGCGATCTTCATACGCGTGGGTGGGAGTGTTTCATTTTGGTGACACGTGGGATTATGCTTATGCTTTGCATGGACGGCCGTGGAATTCGGTCCTCCCAAATAAAACTGAAATCGGCCTCTAAACCAATTCCAAAAAAGTAAATAAATCTAACCGTAATACAAGGAGAGGAGGTTCGATTGGGGGAAGGGAAGACGAGCACTTCAACTCCAGATCAAATCCGATTCAAACCCAGATTTTACAAAGAATCTGGGTTTGGATAGATTCAGGGAGATCGGGGAAGCGGAAAACGGACCCAGATTTTAAAACCTTTCTCGTTTTCGCTGTCGGTCGGATCTCCTTCTCTCTGGCTCAACAATGGCGGAGGTGACGAACAAGAAGAAGTACATTACGAGCGAGGAACTGAAGAAACACAACCAACCGGGAGATCTGTGGATCTCGATTCAGGGCAAGGTCTACGACGTCACGGATTGGGTTAGATCTCATCCCGGAGGAGACGCTCCGATCCGGAATCTCGCCGGACAAGACGTCACCGACGCGTTCATCGCCTACCATCCCGGCACGGCGTGGGCCCACCTCGACAAGCTCTTCACCGGTTATCACCTCCGTGACTTCCATGTCTCCGACATCTCACGGGACTACCGCCGCATGGCCGCCGAGTTCTCGAAACTCGGCCTCTTCGAGGACAAAGGTCACGTGACCCTCTACACACTCACCTGCGTCGCCGTCATGTTCCTCGCAGTCATCTATGGCGTTTTGGCCTGTACCAGCGTGTGGGCCCACCTTGTCTCCGCCATCCTCCTAGGGTTCCTCTGGATCCAGAGCGCCTACGTGGGTCACGACTCCGGCCATTACAACGTCATGAGGAGTCGTGGTTACAACAAACTGGCTCAGCTTCTCTCCGGCAACTGTCTCACCGGAATCTCCATTGCTTGGTGGAAATGGACCCACAATGCCCACCACATCGCCTGCAACAGCCTTGACCACGACCCTGATCTCCAACACATCCCTGTTTTCGCTGTCTCGACCAAGTTCTTCGCCTCCATGACGTCGAGGTTCTACGGTCGGAAACTCAGCTTCGATCCTTTGGCCCGGTTCCTGATCAGCTATCAACACTGGACGTTTTACCCCGTGATGTGCGTGGCTAGGGTCAATCTCTTTGTCCAGACGTTCTTGCTTTTGTTCTCGAAGCGTCACGTCCCCGACCGGGCAATGAACATCGCCGGCATTTTGGTGTTCTGGGCATGGTTTCCTCTCCTCGTATCGTGTCTCCCCAACTGGCCCGAGAGATTCATGTTTGTGCTGACGAGCTTCGCCGTCACGGCTCTGCAGCACGTGCAGTTCTGTCTGAACCACTTCGCCGCCGACGTCTACACCGGTCCACCTAACGGGAACGACTGGTTCGAGAAGCAGACGGGTGGGACATTGGACATAGCGTGTCGGTCGTGGATGGACTGGTTCTTCGGGGGTTTACAGTTTCAGCTCGAGCACCATCTCTTCCCGCGTTTGCCGAGATGCCATCTCCGGCGGGTTTCTCCGGTGGTCCGGGAGCTATGCAAGAAGCACAACCTTCCGTACAGGAGCCTGTCGTGGTGGGAAGCTAACGTCTGGACCATTAGGACGCTGAGGACGGCAGCGATTCAGGCCAGGGACGCGGCCAACCCCGTCGGCAAGAACTTGGTCTGGGAAGCCGTGAACACACATGGCTGAGATCGAGATCGGGATATTTGTTACCTAAAAAGTTTTTTTTTGTGCTTTTATTGTTTTATATATTTTTTTTGTCCTTTTGTTAAGGGGAAAAAATGGAAGATCCGTTAGAATTTGAAGTTGAAATTATTTTATCACATACTGTTTGCATAATTATATAGGGTTATATCATATGTAATCTTCCCAGCTCTGTTTGTTTGGATATCAGAAATAATATTTTTGTATAAACAAATTTATATCGACGAAGCTATGCTGTCAAATAAAGGTGCATTCTTTTTTCATGCGGAGATATGAGTACGATGGATAAAATTTGAAAAACTATAAAGTTCCACAAAGAACGCGTATATTTTTATGGGAAGTGGCATATGTTAAGTTCATGTGCAACGATGGAAGGACGCGACGACAACTGACTTCGGTTGACATGTCTTGCATGCGGGATTGTCCCCATGATGCAAGAGATGTTTGGAACATGTTTGATGCTAGCGGCATCTGGAGGACTTTTTGTTCTTCTCAGATTTTTGCTAAGTTGGTCATTTCTTTATCTGAAATCATCTTCTATACAATTTGATGGGTGTTCGTGGGATGTTATATTCTCATTGATCTTATGGTATTTGTTAGGAGTGGACGTTTCGGTTTGGTTCCGAGAAACCGAACTGAAAAATACAGTATTTTCTCCGGTTCGACTTGTCCAAAATTCTTGAACGATATTAATTTTTTAAAGATCGAATTTTTTGAAACCGAACCATACCAAATCGAAATTTAAAAACCTGAAAAACCGATTTTTTTTTAAAGAAGATCCATCTTTATTAAAAAAACCAAAACCAAACCGAATCAGAATTGAAACTAAATATAATATAATAACTGATAGGTACATATTTTTGTAAAGCGGAAAGACCAAAACTGAACCGAATATAATATAATAATCGATAGATACCTATTTTTGTAAAATCGATAGAAGCGAACCGAACCATTCCTGGTCCGAACTCGAACCAAGTATCGAAACGTCCACCCCTAATATTTGCCGAAGAATCGTAGTACTTTTATGTTCGGGAATTATCTTTGGCTCGGAACGAAGTCTATAACGTCCACATGGTCTAGGACTATCCAAAAACTGATATCTGTATTTACTGCTACTAAATCAACAATTAGTGGTATTCAAAAACCCAAATTAAGACTCATTCTTACATTCTTTTTACTAAATATAGAAATAATTCTATACTTTTCTGTTGGGATGAGAGAAACATTGGCCGAAAATTGGAGATTCAAATGGATTTGCAGGCTACTATTTCTTTGATGGAGAATCTACACAACTTTTCTTTTGAACTTCGAAATTTGGTTTGGTTTGCAAATAAAGATAAGTTTGCAATTTTTTTTATAAAAAAAATATATATAGAGAGACGCAAATATAATTGGTGATTATGTGCCTTAGGGTTTGATAAATCTAATGGCTAAATCAATGGAAAATCTTGTTCGGACGAGTTTGACTTTTGGGTCAAATCCGTACGAGGAAGAAAAAGCCTCTGTGATTACACAAATTTTGAAATTATTAATTTTAATGCGAGAAAGACAGAGAGATGGTAGCGAATGGGCCACGTCAGACAATGGGCTTTTGCTACTAAGCTTAAGCCCAAGTACTCATGGGCCATAACCAACCCGAATAGAACAAACGGGTTACAGTTGGATATTAAAGTTTTTTAATATATTTTTGTCCAAATCCAACCAAAATCACACACATATAACCGAACAAATAGAATGAATAAATTTTTAAATAAAAAATAAAAAAAATGAACGCACCAATATCTGCTACTAAATTTATAATACAATTTCGCATAACAATAATATTAGTTTAAGGCGGCAAGCGACAATATCATTTTTGTGAGATTTGGGGTGATTTTCCCGAATCTGGCAAGTCTTAATCGAAGACGACAATTCCAATGATCATTATCCATTAGGGTAAGAAATTTATCCGCAGAATTTCCCCCTGGCCTCTCCTCGCGTCCCACAATTTTCTCGCTATCCAAGCATATTCCTCTGCAAATTCTCTCCATATCGTTTTCTTTTTCTCTCGGGAAAATGCTTCTAGAAATGTTTGTTCCTGCCTTAGTTTTGCTCTAATTCATCTTCATTTTTGTCCCCTTTCGCACTCTCCATGGCTATTTTCGTTCGTTCTCCGGAAATATCCACCGTCTTCGAGAGGATCTTCGCCGACCCAAATTCGAATGCGAAACCTAATCCAAAATCTAGATCTCTGAGGAGGGTTGCGGTTTCTGCGGCTGATACGAGAGACTGGGCTGGTTCCAAGGGTAGTACAGGTGTGGAGGATCAGAAGACGAGATTGTACGGACAATTCTCGGCTCCAGTGAAGGAGAGTTACAAGAGGAGCAGCGAGGAAGAAGAGAAGCAGAACTACTATGTCAATTTGGGTCATGCTATTCGCACTCTCAGAGAGGAGTTCCCCGATCTATTCTACAGAGAGCTCAGTTTTGATATCTACAGGTTCAATCTACCGTCTCTTCTCTTTCATTTTTTTTTCCTCCGGCTTTGTCTTGGTCCCTGACAGAATGAGTCCTCTTATCTATTGTAACAAAGGATCGCTTGTTGATCGAGGATGTTTAGGGGAAGTAAGAAATGGTCGTGTTATCTGTTCACCATAAGTCAATCGGATCATTGATATTGATATGTCTATCATCTACATCAAGTTCTGTATGCAGTTTTCCCGTGTTAGAACTTAGAAGTTTGTCGTAGTCTATGCTCAAAGTCATATGTAAATTGCCATATGAAGATGTGATCTAACTGTTCATTGATTAAGGGACAAAACAAAGGACTAAACTTTGAACCTGCCCTGTCTTAGATCTCTTTGTTTTTTCTTGGTAGGGATGACATTGTGTTCAGAGACCCTATGAACACATTCATGGGCGTCGAAAACTACAAGTCGATATTGTGGGCATTACGTTTTCACGGAAGGATCTTCTTCCGTGCCCTCTGGGTTGAAGTCATCAGCGTCTGGCAGCCTGCAGAAACCACACTAATGATACGGTGGACTGTCCATGGAATCCATCGTGTTCCATGGGAGAGCCATGGAAGGTTCGATGGCACTTCAGAGTATAAGTTCGACAAGGACGGGAAGATCTACAAACACAAAGTTGACAATATCGCCCTCAACACACCCCGAAAGTTCCACATGCTGACAGTCCAGGAGCTCATCGAAGCCATTACCTGCCCTTCAACTCCAAAGCCGACATACTTCGAGGTATCTTTGGAAACAACATCCTAGTACCGCCAGACAGAAGCTATCTATCTGATGGAACTGATGTCTGAAGTTCTGAGTTTCTCGGGTATTTGTGACTCGTAAGCCTTGTGGAGGAGTTACCCGAGAAGTTAAATGATGTGTATGTATAGATCGAGTATAATGCAGTAGCAGAACTGAAGTTGTATAAGTGTAGTATAGAAATAGAAAAAGTGCCCTTTTTTTGGTATAGTTTTTCAGTCTTTAAGAAACTACAATTTCCAGTGCGTTCATTCACAGTTTGCTATCACTTTGATTCGCAATCACGAAACAACGTTGACTGGTGCGACGGAAGGGTATTTCCGTTATTTTGTTTAAACTGCTCCCAAGGTCGTTTTCCTTTACTCCCCTTTCTACTTCATGCACCTCCCCCTCCCTCTCTCTTGTTGGAATAAGTGGGGAATATAAAAACAACAAGACAAAGCACTTTCAAAAAAACGTTATTTCGTCCCAAATGAGCAAATGACTTATCGGAATACGTCTTATTTAAGATACAACGAAAAGAAATGTAATCTACAATTGCTCTTTCTAGATCACAAGGCAAGAAAAATGTAAGAAAGAAGATGGACAATGAACTTTTGTATATGTTTTTACAAGAATGCATATAAAAAGGTTAAAAAATCTCTCAAAATCAAGTTAGATCTGCTTTATATTCGTGTTAAGGGGCCAAGAGGTGTTTATAAACACACAATACGTCGAAAGGTCTCGAGAAAACGAAAATTTTATTCGACTTGTCGCGATAGCTCGATCGCGACTTTTGTGTTTTTTTTTTGTCTTTTCAAGCGAGATCATGATTGATCTATTGTCTTTCGACGATGGCTCGATTGTGGCTTCTGAGCATTTTGGTCGAAGAGCATGATCGACCTGTCGATCATGCCCTCTGAGCATTTTGGAACATTTTATCTAATCTAGATCCTTGTGAATGATAGTCTAACCGATCTATTATGATTCCCCTCTCTAAAAAATAATCCGTCCTAGATATAGGATATCTACCGCTACACGAAATTCGACAAGAATCTTTATGACCTATATAGCATGTTTCTCGAATTTATTTACCTTTTCCCTAGGTCTTATCAGTCGACATTATGTATCTCATATTTTGTAACATCCCGTGAAGAAGAAATAAAAGTGGGAAAAATATGTTTCCATGTTTCCTCAACCACCCTACTCACATGCCCCCACCTTCATCAATATCTCCTCCTTAATAATCATACGACTTCTCCTCCTCCCACTTCTACTTCTTCTCATTCCTTACACTCTCTCATTCTGAAACAATTGCAGCAGTCTCTCTCTCCCATAAGACCAGTAGCTCTATACTCAGAGAAAACATAGATCTAAGAAAGGTATGTTCATGTTTCTATATCCCTTCTTCTTCCAATGTTGTTCAATCTTCCATGTATTACAAAGTTTTTCCCTCTATCTCTCTAAATCTATTTAAATTACAGTTATTCAGTTAAGATCGAATTAGGCAAGAGAATCATCCATCGATTGACCCAAAAACACCAGAGAAGTCGAGACATTCTTAAGTGAGTGAATCGAGTTCAATTCAAAAATTCAATTTTTATTGATTCTTGGTGATTTCAACATGTTTGTATTAAATTGATGTTTGATTTATATTATTGAATGATATTTTTATTGTGAATTTTAGGTTTTAATCCGTTAAATTTTGATTTGTTTAAGTATTTGTATGAAATCACGATGTACGTATCGGACCGGACCAATTTTGGTCCGGACCGAACTAAATTATGAAAAACATGAAAATAATAATAATAATTTTGAAACAACAACAACAATAATAATAATAATTATAACGATAAGAATAACAATGGTAATAATAATAATAATAATAATAATAATAATAATAATAATAATAATTTCGAATTAATAATAATAATAATGATAACGATAACATATGAATATTAATATTAATAATAATAATATCGAAATAATAATAGTATTCATAATAATGATAATAATGAATAATAATAATGGTAATAACAATAATAATAATAATAATAATAATAAAATAATAATAATAATAACGATAAGACTAATAATGATACTAATAACAATAAGAATAATAGTAATAATAATAACAGTAATAAAATAAAATAAAAATTTCCGGTCCGATGGACTAGTTTAAATAATATTTCGGAAAAAAAAAACGAACTAAATAGAAATGAAACCGAACGCGGTCCGGATCAGAACAATCAAGGTAAGTGTGAAATCACGAGATTATCCGAACTGGTCATCTGGGCAGAGCGGAACCCATTTTGAACGAACTTAAAGTTAAAGCAAATAAAATAAAAAGAACAAAATATTTCTATGGGTGTCTATAAATATAAATACCTAGTGAGTATATGTGTATAAAAGATGGATAACCCATAAAAGGAGAGAAAAAAATGAAACAGAATTATATATCATAAAACGGATAAAAGAATCCTATGTCTGTTTCGATTTCGGTTACTATTATAAAATGTACATTTTTTTAATAATATTTCTATGTTTTTGGAGGTTCTCGGATGTTGAGTTTAAAAAAAAATGACCATTTTATACTTTTGATGGTTCGGTTCGAGAACGATAACTAATTTTTTGGTTCGATTTGCTTCGATTTTGAGACACCCAATCGTAACTGTTGGACCCATTTGGTGGAAAAGAGAACCTTCCACATGGGAAGGAGGTTTTGGTTTAATACCAAAAAAACGCTACATTTTGGAAGATTAGGGTTTTTACCCTAAGGCTCGTGACTTCGTCACTTTCGGCAGAGAAGAAAAAGGGGCAAAAATGAGAGGGAGAGAGGAGATCGCGGTGAGCACATGGCGGAGGACGTTTCGGCGGTCCGTCAAGAAAGCTCGGTGGTAGATCGGTAAGATCCCGGTACAGGTTGGCATCCCTTGGCTGTTTCCCCTTCTCTTTTGTTCTCGGTTCTTCTCGGTGAGGCTCCGGATTGTGGAGATCCGCCGAGCTTCTGTTCTCCGGTGTTGTTCTTCCGTCGATAGTGGATTCGCCGGCACCGTCCGGCCGAGATGTAGGCCCGAGCTTGCTCGGTAACCGAACTCGTTAAAATCGCTGTCTCTTCTTTCGGTTCTTGCACGAACGAGTGACGGAGAGATCAGAGAGGGTTCGATACCACCTTCACAAAGTGGTATCAAAGCCTGGTTCATCGATCCAGGGAGGTAAGGTCGCCGGAAAAGGCGAGGTAAGATATTGCGGTTCGAATCTCTTGTGTTTGAGCGTTTTGATCTGTCTGGTGGAGTGTTTCAGATGATACCGAAACCAGATCGACGACGATAGGTGGCAGATCTAACAGCTCAGGGTTGCCGGTGGAGAGATCCATCGTGGTGATGCATCTGAGAACGAAACTCGGTGGAAGATGATTCGAACCCGGTGAGTCAGGTAAGTTTCTGACTCGATTTCCATTATTCTTCCGCGTTTTCTCCGGTTTTGAGACCGAGTTTCAAAGAAACTCGGTGAACTCGGCGGAGAAAAGTCCGATTCCGGCGAAACTCGGCCCCTAACTCCTTCGAGTTAGGGTTTGAGTGAAGGAATCGGGTGAGTCAACCACCGAGTCAACTCGAGTGACTCGGCGGCTAGGGTTTCCGAAATTAGGGTTTCGAATTAAATCCGGTTCAGACCGGTTTAATCGAACTAATTCTCGGTTTAACCCGGTTTTGGGTCAATCGAACCTGGTTCCCCTGGTTCGATCCGATCCAAGTCCGGTTATCGGCGGTCAGTCCGGCTCAGACCCGGTTCCGTCGGTTCAGACCGGATTCTGGCCGGTTCAGTCCGGCTCAGTCCCGGTCCCGGCCGGTTCAGACCGGTTCACCCCGGTTCGGTCAGTCCGTTGACCAATTTGGTCAACAGTTGACCGGTTTAGGTCAAACCGGACCGGTTCAGGTCTGGGTTGGGGTCAATTGGACCGGTTTAGACCGGTTCAGGTCAATCTAGGTCTGGTTTAGGACAATTGAGTCCGATTTAGGTCAATTCAGGTCCGGTTTAGGTCAATTGAGTTCGGTTTAGGGCAATTCATACTAGTTTAGGCTGGTTTAGGTCTTGGTTAAGGTCTGATTTGTCTGGGAAGGGCTAGAATTGTTCGGTTTAGACTGGTTTAAGTCTGGTTTAAGTCTAAGGTTAGGGTCTGTTCGTCCAGTTAGGCTAGAATTAGACCGAATAGGTCAATTGGGTCCGGTATTAGGTAAGATTAGATTCATTTTAGGCTAATAGAGGTCTGTTTAGGATCTGATTTATCTGGTTAGCGCTGGTATTGGTCGGGTTAGGATCTGATTTTGGGTTTTAGGACTAGATTGGGTCAGTTTAGGGTCTGGAGTGTGTAATTAGGACTAGAACTAACTGGTTTAGGGTTAGGTTGGTCCATATAGGTCTGATGGTGTCTGGTTTAGGGCATAGTGGACTGGTTTAGGGTAGATTAGGGTCTGTAGTGATCGGTTTACCTTGTTAGGCTGGTCTAGTATCAAATTTAGCTTGGTTTAGTGAAATATACTAAGGATAGACCTGTTTAGATCTCGGTTTAGCTAATGTGAGTCATAGATTCCTGTTTTTCTGTTCAGTATAGGTCTGATTAGGCTGGATTTGATGACGTTTAGCTGGGTAAGAGGTCTGGGTAGACTAAAATAGACTGGTATACGTCTGAGATTGACTGGTTTTTAGGTCGGTATAGATCTGTAAGGGTTGTTTTGGGTCTCGATTAGGTCTGGTTTAGCCAAATTTGAGTTAGTCTAGCTCAGTCTAGGTCTGATCAGTAGGTAATTAGGTCAAAATAGACTTGGTTAGGTCTGATCAGATTAGAATCTGATTATAGATTTAGGTATTATCTAGTTTAGGACTAGATAGGACTCCTAAGTACCAGTTTTGAGTCATAGAGTCCGGTATATTGACCGGTTAGGTCTGATTAGTTGGGATTTGACTAAAACGGGTTGGTTTAGGGGTTAGTTAAGTCTAGAATCACTAGGTATAGGTCTGTAGGGGTCGATTTAGATCAGGGCAGGTCTATAGGGGTTGGTTCTAGGCATTGTTAAGGTCTGATCAGAAGTAAATTAGGTCTCATTAGGCTTAGTTTAGGTCTGATTGGGTGCTAAAAGTCTAATCAGGGGAGTCAATAAGGTTGGTTTAGGTTTGATGATTAGGACTTTTAGGTGATTGACTAGGACTTAGGTTAACTAATCAGGGGTTGGTTAGGTCAATTAGGATTGGCTTAGGTCTGATTAGGGTTTTCTGGTCTAGTTTGGGCTTTTGGTTGTCTAACTAGGGCTGTTTGGATCTAGATAGCACTTGGGTAGGTCTGATTAGGACTTTGTGAGGGACCGGGTAGACTCGGGATCGTAGGACTGGTTAGGACTTTGTTGGGGGCCATGTAGACTCAGTGTTATAGGTCTGATTAGACGTAATCAGGTCCGGTTAGCCTTAAGTTAGGTCTGGTTAGACGTAATCAGGTCTTAAGGTAGGCTGTGTTTCGAGTCTAATAGGTCGGTTAGGCAAAATTATGCCTAGGGTAAGTCCAATCAGGTTTGTGCGAGAGTCTAAGAGGTCGGTTAGGTAGAAATATACCTTGTGTTAAGTCCAATCAGGTCTGGTTTAGAGTGTGTTAGATCCGTCTAGGTAATATGTACCTAGGGAGATGTCCGGTTAGACTTGGTTTAAAGTCCGTTAGATCGGGTTTAGGTTGAGTGCCTAGGTTAAGTCCGGTCAGGTCGTGTTCTCTAGGTCTTGTAGGTCTGATTAGGTAGAGATGTACCTAGGTTTAGGACCGATAGACTAGGGTTAAAGCATGTTTAAGCACGGCCAGGTAGAAATATGCCTAGGGTTAAGTCCTCTAGGGTTCGGTCTCATCCCTCGTGTCATGTTACATCACTTCTAGGGTCGGGGAAGTCACTTCCGGGTTGGGTCGATTCTAGACTCAGGTTTTATCATCTTAGGATGATGGAGTTAGACATTCCAGCTCGGTATACCCCGAAAGGGGGTATTGTGGAAGGACTAGGGGTCTCGGGCAAACCCGAGAAATCGGGTTGCAGGAGAAGGCCAAGGACCAGGTGGAGTGAGTTGTTCCGCGGGTAGGTAGGGACACTACAAGAAGCTGTTGTAGGTCCCAGATGACGAGGTAGGGAGAGTCCGAGGTAGAAGGACGTTTTGTCCTCGGAGGAGTAACCGAAGATGCTTCGGTTCTCGGTGGTAGGTCAGGAGGTGAGATCTCCACATTTAGGTGGAGCTTCCTCGGGTAGGATGCTCAGGAGATGGTATGAGCTGGGAGGTGTCGGGATTTCACCGGGAAGAGTCGGTGTAGGTTGGCGCTAGGACACTCCCTCTCGAGGTAGAGCACGTGCGCTCACGTGTCTCATTCTCGGTGGAGCATTCTTAGAGGACTAGGAATGTCTTCACGGGACAAAACCGTGGGACAATTCTAGTTGGCAGGTTAGGGTCCGAGGGTAGAAGTCGTATACCTATAGGTAGTATAGACTTCATGGGGATCCGGGCTAGGTATCTAACGGTTTCGGTGGTATGACTCAGGTTAGTCTCGGGTAAGTCGGGATAGACTTAGGAGACGGGTAGACATCGGGTGTAATCCTCGGGTTAGCTAGCGGGTATAGTCTTGGACTTTACTAGGAGGGTTAGTTAGACGGTCTAGGGAGTCATACAACCGAGGGTAGCGTTTGCCGGTCGGGCAACGCGGCATAGGACTACGGTTCGAGTCTTATCGGGGTGAACGTTCTAACACGTTTACCGAGTGTTTCAGGTAAAGATGAGCTGATCGGTGGCGGGATAAGGCGACGAGGCTACGAGGAGTCATCGACGGGAGCTTCATCAAGTTCAAAGGCAGCGATATGTGACTAACTCCGAGACATCAGGTAAGTGAGGTAAGTCAGGTAAGTTACGCTTTAAATTCCGACGAAAGTCGAGGGATCGACGAAAGTCGATCGGTGCTAGAAACGGCGAATTCCACTATGTTTATATTTTTTTTCTTTCGGTTTCTCTTTCTCCACCAAGATGGAGATTGTTGGGCCCTAAGGCCCATTTGGTGGAAAAGAGAACCTTCCACATGGGAAGGAGGTTTTGGTTTAATACCAAAAAACGCTACGTTTTGGAAGATTAGGGTTTTTACCCTAAGGCTCTTGACTTCGTCACTTTCGGCAGAGAAGAAAAAGAGGCAAAAATGAGAGGGAGAGAGGAGATCGCGGTGAGCACATGGCGGAGGACGTTTCGGCAGTCCGTCAAGAAAGCTCGGTGGTAGATCGGTAAGATCCCGGTACAGGTTGGCATCCCTTGGTTGTTTCCCCTTCTCTTTTGTTCTCGGTTCTTCTCGGTAAGGCTCCGGATTGTGGAGATCCGCCGAGCTTCTGTTCTCCGGTGTTGTTCTTCCGTCGATAATGGATTCGCCGGCACCGTCCGGCCAAGATGTAGGCCCGAGCTTGCTCGGTAACCGAACTCGTTAAAATCGCTGTCTCTTCTTTCGGTTCTTGCACGAACGAGTGACGGAGGGATCGGAGAGGTGACCTTCACAGTAACACCCACCCCTAATAATAAGACATGATAATGAGAAGTTGAACTCATATAAAGGATATTTTTATTTAAACATCCATAGAAAACCACTAAATTCATATTTTAGTTTGGTAAAATCTAAACGCAACAACATTCAGTGTTTTCAGAAGGGCCGTGAGGTTCACATAATCCCCTCGTAAAATGTGGTGGTGGTCCAGCTGTTGCACACGATTTATTATAATCCGGATTGGATTTGCATGGTCCTCCCCAATAACAATCACCTTCTTCTTGATTCACGTTGTTTGCAATTCGGTCAAAATAAAAAATATTTAAAGGTTAAAATTTGATTATTCTATTTTAAAAATTCTAAAGTAGTGAAAACAATTAAATAAAGAATTTTTATATTAAAAAAATTAATATTTTATTATGGTTTCAAAAAGAAATAGATAAAAAATTTATACTTGATGATTGAACCGTCACAACAAGTGAGACTATGATAAGAAGAGTAATAAGCACATGCTTTGAGGAAGCCATTTTCTTCGTTACTCTAACAAGGATAACTATATACGTATTAA